ATTTCAATGTTCCAGTCGACCAAACTCGTATTTTGCTAGAACTTTATCTGTTCCATCGACTGCGTACAACAAACTGCGCATTTACCAATTTCAACTACCCAAAAAAGTGATCAGAAATTGGCAATTTGGTCAATTTCATACAAAACTGAAGCAATGCCAATTTCAAAATAGGGTCCAGAATTAACAATACAAACATTTCTAGTACAGTGGACCCCCGGTTCGCGAAGCCATCGGTATCCGATAAATCCGGTATCCGAAGCATTATATCGCAAAAAATTTGCCTCGGTTCCCGTTACAAAACCCGGTATGCGATACGATTCATATGAGATGTGTCCAGTGTTTACAAGCCAGCCAGTGTGCGTGCATCTAAGGATACATTCGGTACATTCTATATTATCCATATTATCACTGTTTTTGGTGCTTGTTTCTGTAAAATAAGTCACCACGGGCCCAAAGAAAGTTTCTAGTGCCAACCCATCGAGACCAAGGGTGCTAATGACTATTGAAATTAAGGAAATGTGTGCAAACCTTTTTGGATGAAAATCACCCTGACACAGCTACTGCAAGCTGTGTTGGCAACCTGTACACTGACAATGTTGTGAACCACTTTAGGAAAGTCATAAAGGAACGAGAAGTACAGGCCTCTATGGACAGATATGTTGTGCGACAGAAGTCCAGTGACTCTCAAGCTGGTCCTAGTGGCATTAAAGGAAGAAGGGAAGTAACCCCGGAAAAGGACTTGCTACCTCAAGTCCTAATGGAGGGGGATTCCCCTTCTAAACATTAAAAACTTCGACACTCTCCCCTCCTCCCATCCCATCAATCATCACCAGATCTTCATTAAAGGTAAGTGTCAATTATTCTATTGTGATTATTCTATTATTATTATTGTTATTGTAATTATTATATTGCATTAAACTTAATATATCATGTGGTAAAAGTTTTTTTTTTCATACTTTTGGGTGTCTTGCACGGATTAATTTGATTTCCATTATTTCTTATGGGGAATATTGATTCGCTTTCCGATAATTTTGGTTTACGATAAATATCGTGAACCGGGGGTCCACTGTACTAAAATAACATTTTCTCTGTTCATTAGTCATGTCTCCAGGTCCCTCTTATATTACGCTTGCTTTCCATTTTGAATTTTTATTCACACAAAATAGAAGATTTACTGTTACGCAGACTGCTGCATTATCGATAAAATTTTATAAATAATATCAGTGCATTTGTGAAAGCATATCAGACCCACCAATCCATCAGTTGATATGTAGCAGACACGTGACATGATTTGTTTACTCTTCAACATTGGCAAAAAACAGAACGTTTCTGCTAATTTGATCTCAATTTCAAGGTACTTTTAGTCTGCAAACCATTCAAAATCAACTCTATTTCTGTAACATGTCTTCTATTCTATCAAATGAAACCAAGAAAATGAGAATAGTACAACCATAAATACCACACGAAAATATACTGCAAAATCAGTGTTTTAAACCAAAACCATAGTCGGAGTTTTTTTTCTTATTATGCACTGCATGCTGCAGGATCTTTTTTTATACCACACACACTGACCACTCAAACCCATTCCTTCATATGTAGGCCTACCAGCTTTCTCCCGCAAGATTGGAAACTGATAGAATTTTGGGTAGTATTATGGGACCGACACTGGCTTGCAAGCCGTAATATTATGGGACTGACAGTGAAAAGGTTAAGGGGTTAAAGCCCATGCCACACTCATACAGTACCTAACAAGTTCTGTATATAGGAACAAAATGCTTTGACTAAATATGGGCTTTTCCATGTAAGGGACAAATAATGTTAACCTATCTATCTACCTTGGTAACACTAATATATATTCTTGGAATATTATCATTATTATTCAAGTTATTAAATCAGGGGAAAAAATCAAATGTACTTAAAATTTAACACAGGCCATTTTAGTGATATGGGAAAACCATGTTAAATTTGAATTATTATTTTATACCTGTTTTTAAACAAGACACAATATATCTCAAAAGTGTAAGGAAAACCAATTAAGAAGAAAAAGTGTAGTTCCATTTAGATTAAGACAAAATGCTTTTATCATTAAATACTATTTTAGGCCTGCTACATACATCACTGAAAAGATTACTCATCTTCCCCAAAAGTAAGGTAGCTAATAATATTTCCAATGCCTTCCCTAAGTGTAATCATAGAGAAGCTATTATTACCAGCACTTCCATTAGAGATTTAACCAGTAAGTGTAGTTGAAACCCAAGCTAGAGTTTGTCACACTATGAAGTGAATTCAAGAAAATGTATGTTAGTGAGAGAGTTAAGACATTTACATACCTCTGTCCACGAGCACAGATACGCCTGCCATATTAACAATGCCTACGTTATTCACAGGAATAGCCACTACTATTTGATGAAGTGTATGAAGCCCAACTTATCACAAAGGAAGAGGATTTAAGTAAACACCTATGCTTGGAAGCTGTGATCATTTGCCTTAACTCTGTAGTAGAACAGAACACAAGTAGCATCACTATCTCCAATTTTGGCTCAATCAATTTTAAGCCATCGAATGACAGCCATCAGATGGTAACATAAATCATCTTATGCATCCCACCTCCATGTTATTATATACTTCCCAGTTTTTGTGACTGTATTGGACAGGTGAGGCCCCTGGTGGGAGGAACATTTTCAAAATAAATGCTATCTAATACTACTACTACTACTACTAATAATAATTTTATTTTGGCATAATATAAGTTTGTACAAAGGAGCATAACAATTGGGTGTACATGCCAAAAGCCCCTTTATATGCAGAGCATTTCGGGCAAACTTAAGATTAAATAGGCAATAACAGTGCAGTAATTGCACATATGGTCATTAGGTGAGTTATAATGAATACAAGAAAATTGAATAATCTATTAGTTCATGCTATATGGCTTTAATAAGCTTGGTAGAGAAGAATTATAGTTTTGATTATTAACCTAAGGTGGGCACAATGGAATGATTTAACATTTAATTCACTTTAATTTAATTCACTTATAATTAATAATCTACTGTTCAACTATGAAATAATTAATGTCCTACTGTACAACTATGATAAAATCCTTAGTGTTAAGTAGTCTGTAAGCCATTAATGTTAAGTTGCCCCATAATGCCTAGGCATAATAGAGGCTCTCTTTGCATTGTAACCCACTATTGTAAATATAAAATCTCAATGTACTTTTTGCAAAGACATAAAATAAATAAATAAAATAAATAAATAAATTTGAGAGGATTACAGATACAGTAAGTATACAGTAGGGCCCCACTTATTCGGCAGGCTAGGTTCCAGGCTACTGCCGGAAAGCAGAACTCAATTTTTTCCATTTATAAATGCATATAAATGTAAAGGTAGATATGTAAAGGCAGAAAGTCGAAAGTGAACATAGAAAAGAGTAAAGTGATGAGAGTATCAAATGATTTAGATAAAGAAAAATTGGATATCAAATTGGGGAGGAGTAGTATGGAAGAAGTGAATGTTTTCAGATATTTGGGAGTTGACGTGTCAGCAGATGGATTTATGAAGGATGAGGTTAATCACAGAATTGATGAAGTCAGGGTACCACTGTACTTATGTGTACCTGTGAGACAGAGATAGACAGTGACAGAGAGATAGAGATAGACAGAGACAGCCAAAGTGAATCAGCCAGCTGGCCATCTACCACTATCACAACTGATAGCACCCTCTACCACCATCACTACCACCCTCTACCACTATCACAACTGCTTCCACTCTACCACCACCACCTTCGTATTTTTATACAAACTTTTTCTTAAATTGTGTGTGTTTCTCACATTCTTTACCAAAGGGCTGGCAATAGAAGCTTTCTTTGGAGCCATGGCGGTTTATTTAGCAGTTGCAAGCACTAAAACGAATGGAATATTATGAAATGTATTATATGAACTCATGGAATCATCCTCACTCACTGATAAACAATGGCACACTGGCTGGGAATGGGGTGTGAGGCGGCTCGGGGCTGTGTGTACGCGTCCCAGACGAATGACTATTTGCGAGTCAAATGACGATTCACGAGTCAATGTTTTGATGAAAATAACGTTACGATTTTAAAATATTACGACTATCAAGCCTTACGATTATTGAGGGACCACTGTATAATACATGGATTAATGAAAATGTCTATAATAACATAAAATAGGACATTTAATGTGCCCAGGAGTGATTATTATTAGTTGTATTATGTAATGTTTCCTTCCACCCAGCAACCACACTTCCATAGCATATAAACAGCATGTTTATATGCTATGTAACATGTTTCTTATACAATTTTGAAGAAAATATCATAGATGGATTAATGAAAATGTCTATATTGACGAAAAATTAGACATTTAATGTGCCCAAGAGTGATTATTATTACATAATAGAGATATGTGCTCATGGAAAATGTAAACAAACCGGGTAGCCCGCGCCATGTTTGAAAGACCACTTGCCGTATAGAAAGTTTTCGTCATAATTTGAGATTGCCATATTAGCGGAACGCCATAAGGTGAAATGCCAAAAAGCGGGGCCCTACTGTACACTGACTATAATGTACATCTCTGTGCACATACCAATTATTACTACATTCCTTACTCCAATACACACTCCACCTACTCACCCATGTCATCGTTCTCATTATGATGCCAAAATACCCTTCAGAAAAACTGTCACCAAACACTGATTATTCTTCATCCACTCTTTGAACTATAGTATGATGTCTAGTCATACTATCATCAATTAAATCGGACAAAGCATTATACTGCAAGAAATAATTCCTATCTCTCAACCTATATACCGCTGATGAGTTCCGAGTGCTTTTCTACTGTCAGAAACCGGCTTTGGGCCAGGCACGTCTGGTGCTTGCCCAGACTGATATTGCTAGTGGTCCACTGACCCACAGATCTATCACAGCCTAGTTGATCTGTAATAGCTAAGAAATAAGTGACACATCCATGAAACAAGTTATGTACCTGCTAGATGCCTCTGAGACGTCATCACTAACTCTAGGTGTATTGGAGCCGTTGATGCGGGGATAGCTGCCAAGCCCATTCTCACCCCCATCATGACACACCTTCACTGTTGTTATTCCTTGTGTTAGCTCAAATTCATCAAACCTAAAAATTGATTAAAAATATGTAAAACATTTGAAATACTGTACTTAACTTTATGTAAACTGGTCACATACTGGTGATTAAAATGGTTATCTTACACTGTTATATCATCATAAATATGATAAAACTCATTATAAAAGGTCATCACAAATGAAACATCAAAAATTAAGTACTGCAGTATATACTGCACTTTTTTTTTTTTGGCGGGGGGGGGGGGGGGGGTTACCCTGCCTCAGCGTGAAGCAGGGTAGCATGAACCAAAAAAAGAAACACTTTCACCATCATTCACATAATATCACTGTCTTTGCAGAGGTGCCCAGATATGACAGTTTAGATGTCACTCCAAACAGCCAATATCCCAAACCCTTCCTTTAAAGTGCAGGCATTGTACTTCCCACTTCCAGGACTCGAGTCCGGCTAACCAGTTTCTCTGAATCCCTTCACTAAATATTACCCTGCTGACACTCCAACAGGTCATCAGGTCACAAAAACCATTCATCTCCATTCACTCATATCTAACATGCTCACACATGCCTGCTGCATGTCCAGGCCCCTTGCACACAAAACCTCTTTACCCCCTCCCTCCATCCTTTCCTAGAACAACCCCTGCCTCTCCTCTTCTCTATTACAGATTAATACACTCTTCAAGTCAACCTATTTTGCTCTATCCTCTCTAAATGACCAAACCACCTCAATAACCCATCTTCAGCCCTCTGAACAATAGTTTTAGTAACTCCACACCTCCTCCTAATTTCCACACTACGAATTCTCTGCATAATATTTACACCACACATTGGCCTTAGACATGACATCTCCACTTCCTCCAGCCTCTTTCTCGCTGCAGCATTCACAACTCATCCTTCACACCCATATAAGAGTGTTGGTAACACTATACTCTCATACATATAAAAAAATGGCACGTGGAGATTAGAAGGCAAGCCACAATGCACACTGAGAATTATTAATATCATAACCAGGGAAAGGGCTACACCTGTAAGAATCATACAGCACCTGGAAATGGGAGACACCAGGCTCAATTCAAAGAAGAGGATGATAGGTTAACCTTGGGGTAGTGTAATAAGATAGGTACACTCATTGACAAGATACATATTGAAACTTTGAAAAAATGGGGAAAATCATGCACCCTAATACATACCCATTATATTATACATGAAGAATAATACAACTTGTTACATACCCATCATCTTTCTTGGCACACACACAAAATGCCAAGAAGAAGAAGAGCACCAGAGTGAAGCCAACAGTGATAAGCACTGCCCATGCCTGCACAACATCTAACGCAACAGTAAGTGAGGCACCATCCAGCGGAGGTCCCCCAGGCTCTCCTCCTAGCACATCTAAAAGAGTATTGTGACCAGCACCGTGGGGAGGAGCATATGCCCCTCCCAGGGCCCACGCTGCCCCTCTTGCTCCTACACCTACCATCACCTGGTTTTGCCACCTGAAAAAATTATGGTTACAATAATTTATTGGTGTATTATTTCTTGGTAAAAAAAACTTGTTTCACAACACCAAAGTTAAGCAAGGCTCTTGACCTGGGATTCTAAAATTGTAAAATAATTTGTTTGTAAATCTCAAGGTATGCAAGCTAAGTAATACTACATAATAATTATGACAGTAATTTAGTGTTACTACCTAAGAACATAAGAACATAAGAATGTAGGAACACTGCAGAAGGCCTACTGGCCCATGCGAAGCAGGTCCTTATCAAAACGACCTCTACCTACAGCTACCCAAGAAATAACTCCCGTACCCAATGACACCACTCAAACCCAGCCCCTCCCACTCATATATTTGTCCAGTCTCTTCTTAAAGCTACCCAAGGTCCTAGCCTCTATCACCCCACTGGGAAGACTGTTCCACGCATCTACAACTCTGTTAGAAAACCAGTACTTACCTATGTCCTTTCTAAATCTAAATAGTAATTGGTAAGAATGATTTAGAAAATAAAGTACAGGAGGGCCCCATATATACAGCTCCCTTATTTTCAGTGTTTCACGTTTTCATTAGCTTTTAATTAACCCTTTCACTGTTGGTCCCATAATATTACGGCATGCAAGCCAGTGTCGGTCCCATAATACTACGCCAAAATTCTAGCAACTTCAGATCTGGTGGGAGAAAGCTGGTAGGCCTACATATGAGAGAATGGGTCGGTGTGCACAATATCAAAAAAAATGGGAGGCCACAGTGCACTGTGAGAGTGCCATTTCAGTACGCCTTGTTCACCATGCCTAGCAGTAAGGAATACCTGACTTCCCAGCGAATTAGGACTTCTCTCTTCCCAACTGATAGTTCTAACACAGATGGAAGTGTTAGTGAAGATAAATTTCATCGTCCTGACGAGCTTGTGACTGAAAGAAACGCCCAGGATACCAGATAGTGAAAAAGGAAGACAGCGTGGGTGGTGGGGAAGACAACGTGGAAGGTGGGGAAGACAGCATGGGTGCTGGGGAAGATGGTGTGGGGTGGTTGGGAAGACGGCATGCAAGTTTATTCAGATATACACAAATACAGTTACAAAGATTATCATACATAGCAGCATATGTGTAGAGAACCTAGGATAACCCAAAAAAGTCAAAGTGACTTATTTCCAGCATGGGTGGTGGGGAAGACAGTGTGGGTGGTGGAGAAGATGGTGTGGGTGGTGGGGAACACGGTGTGGGTGGTGGGGAACATGGTGTGGGTGGTGGGGAAGGTGTGAGTGGTGGGGAAGATGGTGTGGGTAGTGGAGAAGATTGCATGGGTGGTGGGGAAGATAGTATGGGTAATAGGGAGTACTGAAATTTTGGTCAAAGCTGAACTCTTCAGGCATTGTTCCTTATATACTTCTTGGATTCAGTGACAAATATGAAGATGATTAGTCGAGGTTTAGCCTACAGCATTTGCGACTGAAATTTTGGAATATGACTGTATTACTGAGCAGTGCAGTGTAGTGTTTTATGTACTGTATCTATGTAATCTGCAGTATTTATAAACATTAACTAACTTTCTCTCTTTTCAGATACTCTGATTACTTATATAGTACAGTGGACCCCCGCTTTACGATCAGCTCCCAATGCGACCAATTATGTAAGTGTATTTATGTAAGTGCGTTTGTACGTGTATGTTTGGGGGTCTGAAATGGACTAATCTAATTCACAATATTCCTTATGGGAACAAATTCGTTCAGTAATGGCACCTGAACATACTTCTGGAATGAAATAATATCGTAAACCGAGGGTCCACTGTACTTTATTACTGAGATGGCTACAATGTCAACAAGGAAAGCCACAGAACATGCATTGTTTGGCAATGCCAGTGTTCTTCCAATGAACAAACGTCCGTCCAAAGACGTTATGTTGAGGAACTGCTGGCGATATAAATAAGATGAAAGGAAGTTTACTGATGTTTCTGTGATTATCAAGATAGCAGCTAAGGATTGTTCTGAACTATGGGAGAAATCAACTGCAAGATAGAAAGACTATTCCTATTCTCAGCCAGAAAACTATTGAGGAAAGACTGAGAAAATTGTACAGTTAAGGAACAGAACTTATTAAGAACAAAAATGTCCCCCCAAAAAGCTACATTTCAGGAAGAAATGAATGAGTTGTTTGATATATGTAGTTGTTTCTGTCCTGCTGCCTCCTGTCAATATGTAGGGTGCAAAATAAAGGAGTGTGACGGATACCACCTGGCCAGTAATTGTGATGTGAAAGTTCCTAAATGTGAAGTACAGTTCCTCCTTGACCAGAGAGGCGATAGGAAGATGAAAATTGGCTGTGTTGACATGACAGTAACGAGGATGTGGGATAGAGGGATGGTAATTAATCCTTTGACTGTCGCAACCCCAAATCCTGAGGTGTCTCCTGGTGTCGCAAAATATTTGAAAAAAAAAAAAAAAAAAACTATTAGTTTTTCTTGTGAAATGAAAGAGAATCTTTTCCCAATGGTAATGACACCAAAAATACAAAATTTGATGGAAAACTTATGGAATTACGCTCTCAAAAAGTTAGCGACCTCGGTGATATTTACGAATTGGGGATTTTGCCCACTTTGAGCTCTATTTTCGACTAATTCCATTGTTCCAGTCAACCAAACTCATAGCTATTTCTTTAGAACTCCATTTGTTCTATCGATTGAGTACAAGAAACTGCCCATTTACCAATTCCAACTAGCCAATAAAGTGGTCAGAAATTGGCAATTTGGCCAATTTCATGCAAATTAAAAAATATGCCAATTTCAAAATAGGGTCCAGAATGAACAATGCAGACATTCATGGCTCTAAAATAACATTTTCATCAGTCATGTCTCCAGGCCCCTCTGATATTACTCTTGCTTTCTATTCTGAATTTTTATTCAAACAAAAAATATGAGATTTACTGTTACGCAGACTACTGCAATACTGTAATAATTGTAAAAATAATGTCAACACATTCGTGACTGCATATTAAAATGGTTAGTTGGATATTTATTGGACAATGACATCATTTGTTTACTCTTGAACATAGGCAAAAATCAAACATTTCCCCTAATTTGAGCTCCATTTCAAGATCCTTTTCACAGTAAAACCAATCAAAGTCACCTCCATTTCTATAATATGTTTTCCATTCTATCAAATGAAACTATGAAAATGAGAATATAACCTTAAAAACTGTATGAAAATACACCTCAAAATCGGTGTTTTAATCCAAAAACACAGTCGGAGTTTTTTTTTCTCATTATGCACTGCTTGCTGCAGGATTCTTTTTATACTGCGCACACTGACCACACAGATCCATTCTCTCATGTGGGCCTACCAGCTTTCTCCCGCTTGATCTGAAGCCGCTAGAACTTTTGAGTACAGTGGACCCCCGGTTAACGATATTTTTTCACTCCAGAAGTACGTTCAGGTGCCAGTACTGACCGAATTTGTTCCCATATGGAATAATGTGAAGTAGATTAGTGCATTTCAGACCCCCAAACATACACGTACAAACGCACTTACATAAATACACTTACATAATTGGTCGCATTCGGAGGTGATCGTTATGCGGGGGTCCACTGTATATGTATGTCAAACACATTGGCTCATAAGACGTATATATATGACTGAAACAGTCAGAGGGTTAAAAAAGGAGCAGGATGCAGCCAAAGCCAGGAAGCAGCTGGAAAAAAGAGTGAACCGGTAGCTGGAGAAGTTTCTGATTCTCACAATAATTCAACTGATGCCAGAGATAGCCTTTCTGTTGATACTGATGCTGACTATGTCTTGAGTGGTCTGACTGCCAGCAGCTCACAGCAGAACAGAACAAGACTCCCCACACTGGCAGCCACATGTGACCGATACTTGATCAGTGATTATACTGGAGCTGCCATTGCTACTGCCACCTTAATGGATTATGGCATTATCACCAAGGATGACAGAAGTCAAGTTATTGGACCACAGAAGTTATGAGATGGTAGACACAAATACTGAATGGAGAGGCAAGAAAATGAGATAGCAAACTTGGAAAACATCGCACCACTGTATTTTGGTGATAAGACCTCCACTTGTGTAATGACAAAGAATGAGAAGACCAAGAAATGAAGTCCAAAGATAGTGGTGAAAAATCATTATGTTATCATGGTGGAGCCCGGCACTCAATACACATCTCACTCATGTGACTCCCAAGTCAGGCCATGGAAAGGAGATTGCCAATACTATCTATACATTTCTGGTGGAACAGAAACTAACTCAGCAGCCTGTTGTATTTGATGGTTGTGACGGAACCAACATAAACGTTGGAGCTGACAATGGAGCCATTCATCATCTTGAAAAGTTGCTTGGTCATCCGGTCCATTATTTTATCTCTAAGTTTGCCCCGAACTGCTTTGCATACAAAGGGGCTTTTGGCATGTACACCCAGCTATTATATTCCTCTGTACAACCATGTAATTTGTCAAAATAAACATCTTTACCTTCATCTGTTAGCTTCATAGAAATGAGCTGCCATTCTCGGCTGTTTTCTACCACTACGATGGTAAGCCAAGTGGTCCTGAGCACTGGAGAGGTCCCATTGGCAAGCAAATCAAGGATCCTCTGTCTGAGCTGCCAGTTGTTGCTGTCCAGCCAGTCAATTTCACTGATTTCTCTGCTCTGCATGACAAGGTGGCAGAGGATCTCTCCTGGGGCCAGAAATACTTGTATAGGATTTTCAAAGGAGTGATCATAGGTATGGTTAATGATGACTTGGCTGCTCATGAACCAGGTCCACCCTGGGTGTTAAGGTGGAATGCTTTATGGAGTAGGAGCCTTAGGCTGTACGTGGTAACATCAAGACCCAGTCAGGAGCTGAAAAGAGTCGTTATTATGAATTTAAAGTTCAGTGCTCCAATGTGGTTCTGCATCAAGCTGCACCCTTATGTCACACATGGTCCCAAGAACATCTTTCAGTCACTGCAATTTATGAGACATCTGACAGTAAAGAAAAGATGATAGTAAAG